CCCCACAACCATAAATTTGTTTTTGTTGCTACTTCAGAACTGTAATTTTGCTACTGTTATGAAATTCAACTGTGCAAGGGTCGTTCAACCCCCACAGGGGTCACGACCCACATGTTTGAGAACCGCTGTTCTATGTGGTAAAATCTGTAGTCAAGATGCATCCAACATTGCTTGAAGCCAAAACGATGATCTAAGGTGCAAAGGGGAGAAGTTGCTTTGTTGGAAAAGATGAAAGTCCAAGAAATGATTAGATAGAATATTATTAGAAACTTTTTATGCTTCATTAGTTAAAATGCTCTCTGGTATTGTATCAGAGTCTGTAAAGATCAATATCAAACATTTTTACACTAATTAGTCACACGTTATTAGGCACGTATGTCACTTGAGATATTCACAAGGCACATCGTTAACGTAAATTCAGTCTAATTCCATTTCACCATTACATGTTACCATTGGCTGATATGCTTCCATAATTATTAAATTAAATTCTTGTATATTAACAACAGTAAAACAGCAATCCACTGCAACAATGATTATTGAGTCACGTTCCCAAGTCAAGCAACATGAAATTCTGATAACTTCACACTCCTCTCTAGTCCTAATATGGAATACCAATATTAGATGCAATTGACAGGAGCAGACAACATAGAATCTCGCTAATGTAGTCAACCTTGTGGATCCCTTAACTCGGTCATGCTCATCTTCTGTGCTGTTTCTCTGGCCATTAGAAGCAACATGAGATCATCAGACATCGCAACCATAGCTTTAGATGGCATTTTCCTTATTAAACACACAATGCCCTCAAATTTTGTAGAGCACATCATTCAAAGTAGATGGAAGGAAAACAGCAGTAGGGACCAAGAGCAGAAAGGTGTATGGTTCCTATCAAGTCACCTGGGGGATATGTTTTTGGAGAGAATGAAAGAGAAGCAAAGGAGACTGTTTGTCCTGTACTTGTGCTTGTCGTTGCTCATCATTCTCGATGGGAGGCTTTAAATACACAGAGAGTAGGTAGTTAGTTGGTTAGTTGATTAGTTAGTTATTCCCCTATGTGTCCATGAAGCCCAATGATAATTCCCTCCTGTACTCAGGAACCCTTTTTCCAATTTGTAATTTTTTGTTTTGCGTATTAAATTTCATGATTCTATGAATTCCCCTATCACTGAGGTCTTTAAAACACATAAAATATTAAGCTAAACAAAAGGCAAGGACTCAAGGGTGACTTGGTACCTGTTTGTTCTCTGTTCATGGAAATGCAGTGATTCACGGTGCGTTTTCCTGGGATTTGAAATTTTGCAGGAGTCATCAAGACTGCCCTTCCCAACATGGACAGAGAGGCTAAAGACCAGTATCTGCTTGTTATTCAGGCAAAGGACATGGTTGGTCAAAATGGCGGACTCTCGGGCACTACATCAGTCACTGTGACCCTCACTGATGTCAACGATAACCCACCTCGCTTTCCACGAAGTAAGAATTTTTATAAATGTTGAAATTATTTCCTTGGAAGTTTTTTTTCTTTCTGAATACTTATTAAACAAGTAAGTCTCTTATCCATATCCGTAAAACTGTGTTAGCTCAGAGACATGATTTTCTTTCCAGTAATGTGCAATTATAAGGGTATTGAAAACAAATGGGAGCAATCATATATTTATCTTAATTTCATCTTAAATACGTTTTCCTGTCATTCATATCTTGAATGTGAGGCAATCCATCTTTTATGTACTAGCTTTTTTCTATTATTATTCTAAGACTCACTCATTTCATATATTCTTCAAATTATGAAGTTGTTGCTAGTTAGTATTTTTCAACTATGCTTTATGATTCTACACACTTAACATATTTTATTTTTTAAGTTAAAAATAGACAAGTACTCAGCATTTTAATTTTTTTATTTCTGTACTTTTTTACTAACTTATGCATGGTTGTGCTTAGCATTTCTATCTCATCGTTCTTGTGCACACAGCCTGGGTTTCTAAAGGAATCAATGTGCAGGACCACATGCCCTCGATTTAGCTTCTTTGACCAAACTGGCCTTTGATTTAGTCACGAGAGAAGGGAAACAGATGCTCTAGGTAGAGATGCCCTTTCTGTAGAAAGCATTTCATCTCAGGCTCTTTAGTTGCCTCCCCCACCACCACCACCACCCCCGCAGGAGGGTTTGGTAGGTGAACATGGTATGTCTTTGGAATGCTCAAGGAAACTCAGAGATTGTACAGAGCTCACTGTCTCGGTGGAAATGGAGAGCTAAAATCTCTTACAAACAAACAACGTTTAAATCAATAATGTCACTTTATGATATTGTCTATGCAAATCAAACAAATAGGTATATTTTTCAAGTACTGCTTCTTCAGCTGTTTTCATTTTGATTTTATATTTTTAAATTGTTTCATTCATTGTACAATAAACATTTTTAATACATAAGGAAAATTTACCCCAAGCCTAACTTCTATCTCTCTACCTATTTATACCTACTTATATAACTACTTACCTACCTAATGTTTTTTCACTACCCATCCAGGACTCTAACCTTATTGTGTTCTTTGTGGCTTATTATAGAGGAAAGAGGATTGAAAAATGAATAAAGAAAGCAATATTCCCCTTCTCTTGGGTTCATAGTGAAAAGAAAAAAATATATATACACACATATATTTTCTCTCTCTCTCTTCTTGGAGACTACAGTAATAAGCCTGCCTTCTAAGAAGTTCTTGTTCTAATGTTTGATGGGACAGGGAAAATACTTTCTGGCATATTAAGTAGATGCTCTCTAATTTTTATTATGGGAGGAAAGCCCAGGATAGTCATTATGGGTTTGTATCTTGAAATGTTTGTGTTTTACTAAACACTGTGTGTGTGTGTGTGTGTGTGTGTGTGTGTGTGTAGTAGTCATCACAATATATATATCCAAATGGTAACAAGGCAACACTGTGCTCGTCATTGGATGGACACACAACCGTGATCCCTTGCAAAATGTCTGAGCTAAAAATATGTCTAATACCTCTCCTAAATATTCTTGTATGATTATATGGAACTTTTGTAGTAAATGATGTCAGTAAGTAAACCCCAATGAATGATCAGTTTTAGAACCAGTTAGGCTTGTATTGATCCATTTGAAATGTTATCAGAATAACTAATGTATCTTAGTTACAAAAAGTACCATTTTTCCCACTACTAGAAATGCAGGAATGGGAATTTCTTCAGTCCATTTTCTTTCTACTGTTACCTTATAATTATTATCTGATCCCTCTGCCCCATAGATTTCTCGGGGCAGTTATGAAACGTGCCTTTATCTCACACTGCTTAAGCATCTTTTTCATTGAAAATAATTTAAGTACAGTGTGTATGTTTTTCAGTTCAAAGTCATGTTTTTAAAATCTTATTAAAGTTTCAAAAATATGGGGGGAAAAAGAAAGGAAATAATTAAGTACAGTGATACAGAATAATCAGATTGGTAGGCTGTAAATAGTTGGCCAGGTTTTGTGGTATTTTTTCATTTCTTGTTTTGAATTTCACAGGGTCCTACCAATATAATGTCCCAGAGTCCTTACCTGTGGCTTCCGTGGTAGCCAGAATCAAAGCTGCTGATGCGGATATTGGTGTGAATGCTGAAATGGAGTACAAAATTGTGGATGGTGATGGATTAGGGATTTTCAAAATCTCTGTTGACAAAGATACCCAAGAAGGAATCATTACAATACAGAAGGTAACGCTTGCTTCTCTTGCTTTTCTAAACATTTTCTCTGAGGGTAGCAACTCAGAGATGAATGGAGCAGAAACCATGTCAGCTTTGATCGAACAATGAAGTCCACAGACTGAAACAGCACAAGCTATTAGTATTGTCACTGGGTGTACTGGCATCTAAACGTGCTGCATCCACTCAATGCTGACACACAGCAACTGTAACTGTGTGGGTTTCTGGCACTGTAACTATGTATGCGAGTAGAGAAGCCCAGTCTTTCTCCCGTGGAACAGTTTGTGAATTAGAACGGCTGACCATGCGGATCTCAGCCCAACACACAACCGCTGCTACGTCATCAGGGCTCCATATTGGCTTATAGGCTGTTGAAATGGCCAATGTAGGGAGGTGAACATGTTTCATTGTTGACCTTTCCACCAAGGAAGCCTTAACATTAACCAGGTGCCTTTGTAAGCAGATCAGACGGATGCTCTGCATTCAGGAAAGCAATGTCAGCAGACTAGACATTAGAAGCAGGGCAATGAAGAATTTCTCCACTACTTACTGCTCCTTTGTAAACTGAGAGTAAATTAAATACTTGGAGCATTTCTGTAAAACTAACACAGGGTGTCAGGGAGCCTATCAATATACCACAAGGGAAAGCACACAGGCAAGAGGCAATACTAGGGGCCATCCGATGTCTGCAGGAGAAATTCTATTATCTTTTAATTCCGTTTTTTCCCCATGAACTTTTGAAGCCCCCTTGTATATTCCACACTAAAGAGTGTTTACCATGACACAGTTAAATTCATTACAAACACTAATGGCGGTGGGGAAAGTTGAACTTTTACTCTCTCTGTGTCTCATGGACCTGCCCTTTGGTAAAGATTTTTTTTTAAATCCAAAAGCAGTTATTTTGGAACATAGTGTTATTCTCTCAAACATCGGAAAGACAACTATGTGTACTTACTACATCTCTATGCACATGGGTGAGGCTCCATGGGCTATACGGAGCGTGGGTGCAGGGTGGGCTTCACACTGAGCTACTGACCACAAGGTCAGTGGCTGGAATCCACCAGCTGCTGTGGCAAAGAAAGACGAGTTGGCCCTGCTGCTATAAAGCTTGGGAACCTCAGAAACCCCCCGAGGAAGTTCTCCTCTGCCCGGAAGGTCACTCTGAATTGGAATTGACTGGATGTGAATTCTTCTTCTTGTTTAATATGTGGGTGTTTACCACTCAGTCTGACCATCCAGGTGTAGAACTCTACCATTAACACTTCTCAATAATTAACACTTATCAATAAAGAATGTTGTATTTGAGCTGTTATAGGAAAACATATGTTTGACTTCAGGCCAGTGGGCAAACATGTTTGCAATTATTTCCAGTCCACAGCTGCTGTTTCAGTTCAGTTGGTGACAATCTGTGTAAAAAAGTTTCAGTAACTAGGATAGGCCAACTGTTGGTGAAAATATTTTGTTTTCTAAAGTAAAAAGAATTTACTAAAATACACCAATGATTTTAGATCAATTGGTTCATGTTCCAGTGCATTTAATATGTATTGAAACAATTTTAATTGAAGAAAATGTATGTTTATATATTATGATGAAAATAACATATGCCATTAAGAAATATATATTGTGGGTAGGAAAGCAAGTTTATATATTGTGGGTATGAAAGCAGGCTTTATATATATTGTGGATATGAAATATATATCGTGGGTATGAATTCAAGTTTTCAAAAGCATTGCCACCAGGATTCCAGTGCACATATCCATTTTGTTTTTGTTGTTGTTTTCCCAAACACCAAGTGGTTAAACACGGTCTTTGTGATCAAGGAATGGCTACAGACAAGTTTTACGCACGTTCCTTTGTCACATTATGGTCCCTTAAAAAAAAAAGTCCCATCAAAACAGTGATTTTGGAGGAGATCTGATAAACCAGGTAAATTCAAGGCAGAGAAATCCCCGCGGGTTATGGTGGCTATTTTTAAGAACCCCAAAGGGTTAATCTCGGGAACTTTTCTTTAACAACAACAGATAACCATGGGAACTTATTTGGAAAAAGGGTTTTAAGAAAATTGAAAGCTGATTTACTGGGGAAAAGGCCAGGAGAATTGTGCTAAAGACTTGTTTTTCATCGTGACTGTGTTTCCACTCACTCTTTGAGGGTAGAAGGTTTGTCCTAGGATAATTTGGGCCAATTTTACTCCACTCACCCTACATAACCGATCTTGACCCTTCAGGCTTCTTTTTGTTTCGTAAACCCAAAGGACACTGCAAAGGGACATGATTTGTGAGCCCGGAGGATACCATTTTGCTGTGGTGTCAATCACAGGTCGCAGACTCCTTCTGGGAAGAACGAGTGAGACAGAAGCATTGCCCTCAAAAGTGTATTGAAGTGACTTAGACACAGGATCTGTCATGAACCAATAGCTTCACAATGCGTTCTCTTTCATTTAATAAAGACTGATGAGATTTCTATGGCAATACTTTACACTTATATGTATATTGAAACAGGCTATCTGAAACTTGGGTTTTTGAACTAGGTAATATTCAATGCTCTGTTGTTAATAAAATAAAGTCTACATGGAGATGAATAATAATAAATTTTATAGGGTTCTTAATGCTAAGAATCCTTTGTTAATGCATGTTGTGTCATATGTTCCTTCTACTTTTTTTTTTCTTTTCTATATACACCCACTCCTCATTTATCAACATGGTTAGGTTCCAAAGACCTAGTCATTATAAGTGAAATAGCATTTTTCAGAAATAGAGGATGACTACATCAGATCACAAACTGGAGAATGACTACATCATTCCATGGCTGCCAAAACACCATTAGGTCACTGCCAAACCACTGAGTATCAGAGCCCAACCATGGTGACACTTAATTGTAACCTTTGGCGTCAATGCAACTTCACATCGGTTCTCCCAGGTAGATGTCATCTATGCACAAAGTAGTCAGCTAGCAGTATGTTGCTGTTGTCATTCATGTGAACAGCCAGATAAGGAGATAGTCTGTAGATGAGGGGCAGGTGTGACAGATAATATTGGCCTAATTTTTATTCCAACAGCTTCTTCCATCATCTGGCTCTTTTTTTAATAATTATAATGCTGCACTGTCTGCTAATCATTTCTAATGTTTAACCAATCTGACTCTAGTGTCACAGCCATAATAAAATGAACTAGCATAAGTCGAGGCCTCTGTAAAAATTGATTGCAAATACAGTCAAGTGATATATTTCCTTTTCTCTGCACTATAGCTTATTGGTTACAGAAATTTCTTTATTCTTTCAAGATTATGGATGGTATTATATATTAACTTTATTTTAAAATTAGATTATTATTAGTTATAGTGTCCTCATTCTCAAGTAATTATTTTAATATTGTAGTCCAAATTTTAATTCACATTTAGGGAGTAGGGGAGTAGCTACTGGGCCCAGCACTGTATTAAAATCTTTAGCTTGTCTTACTAAAAAAATCCCATGTAAGTCTCATATTTCAACTCGTTACACAGCTTTCAGAGAATTACTAGACCCACAGAATTATTTGGAATATATACATATGTTATATACATACATACGTATGTATATATGTATGTATGCATGTATGTATGCCACAATTCTCCAGTTCCATTAACATAGAACAGACATTGAAGTAATTTTAATTTCTGAACACGACATAACTTGTCTTTTACCTCATGCATCCATTTCCCTCTCCTACACCACCCTCTTGAGTGTGGCTCCCAACCCTCATTACCCTTAATTATCTTTCAATTTAGGGGGAAGTTTCTGTTCTTCCTTCTTTGGCTTCAGGATAGGGAGCTAAACTTATCTATAGAAACAAGATTTTTCTCTGTAATTTGGTATGGAGGGGAGAGGGAGTGTGTGTGTAGTTAGTGATGAAACCTGGTTTAGTAAAACATAATGAGAAGGTCCCAGTTCCATAAATACTATGATTTTTCATAGTTATCTTTGGCCACAAGGATTTGGATCAAGACCCAAGTTTGTAGAAGTTTTGAAGAGAATGCGTGCTCCATCTGCCGGCCAACTGTTCAGCTCTATCAAGGCTCTCAAGAACATAAACACGGTCTATGAAAGGAGTTGAAAAGCAGCTGAATTACACCCTTTCCCCGGTAGGCAAGTGTACTGGGTCGAAACCAAACCAGCTGCCATCAAGTCAGTTCCAATTCATGGTGACACCATATGTTTCAGAGGAGAATGGTGTCCCACAGGATTTTCGGTGGCTCATTTTTTCTGAAGTAGATGACCAGGCATTTCCAGGGGGATCTTGGGGGTGGACACAACCCTCCAACTTAGCAGTTAACACCTGAGTACATCCAGCATGCCGCTTTGCACTGCACACAAACTCCCACAGGGCTGGATCGTGCCCCTCCCGCCTCCACCCGATCCTCCTTGTCCAACATAAACACAAAAGGTGACTTTATGTGAGAGTAGTCTTAGCAGATTTAATTGGTAAGATGAAGTCAAAGTAGACTATGGGGGCCTCTAACTCAGTGACTGATTCCTTTGTAAGAAGAGAAAATTGGACACATAGAAACCTGGAGAGGCCATGCACTAATGCAGCTTTGTCGTCCCAGGGCAAGGCTTAGCAGCAATGGATAGCGTTATCACAGTAACAATGTGCTGAAAGACAACAATTGTGAGCATGGTGCAGGATGGAGTGGTGCTACGTTCTGTTGTCCAGGGGTGACTATGCATCAGCACCTACTCGAAGGCACCTAATGGGAACAACAGCAGCTGGGAGAGAGGCATAGGGATTGTTTCTCTCTCAAAGCCAAGTAATAGTACCAATAACCCCATTTCAGACTTCTGACCAACAGAACTGTGAGATAAAGAATTTGTTATTTATGCTGCCTACCTTGGGGTACTTTGGTGTGGCAGCCCTCAGAAAACAGTAATGCAAACCAGGGGCCATTAAAGAAACACTGCAGTTACATACATGTGAGCAAACAGAAAGGATTTTCTCAACAACAACAAAAAATATAACCAATGACCTACGCACAAA